CATTAAACCATCCTGATGACTTATTTAAGGGGGCATTAGGAAACAGCCGGAGGCAGCATCCAACTGTCAGGCAAAGGCACAGGGAATGTATGTGAAAGTGCCCCAGACAGGTGTAGAAGGCTTTTTCTTTAAAGATTTCAGCATGCTGGAGCTCCTGGCTCAGAAATAGGAACACAACAATATCACTGGACCTCCAAAATGGAAAAATAATAAAAATTAACTGAAAATTGACATACTGGATTTCCGTTTTGACACATAGAAGGTAGGTCAGACCATTGTGTCTCGTCAGGTCCTGAAGAAGGTTCACAGGACTCAAAATGTTAACTGTGCTTTCTCTGCACAGATGCTGCCAGAACTGCCAAGTTTCTCCAGCAATTTCTGCTTTTGTTTCAGATTCCCAGCATTTGCAGTTCTTTCTTTTATATTAATACACAAATTCACAGCAGATGGTGGAATTTGAATTCAATAAAAATCCAAAATTAAGTGACTAATGATGACTATGAAACTGTCTTTGATTGTGAGAAAAATCCATCTGGTTCACTAACATCCTTTAGGGAGGGAAACAACTGTCCTTCCCTAGTCTGGCTTATATGTGACTCCAGACCCACAGCAATACGGTTGACTCTTAACTGCCCTCTGGGCAATTAAAGATGGATAATTGCTGAATTAGACAGCATTGTCCACATCCCATGAACTTCCAAAAAAAAAAGCTGTATTTTTATTGCAGTAATTAAAGGTTAATCATTCTGCACCTTAAACAGTTTCAAACGATTACTTTTGACTGGTAATAGCTGCACCTTGGCTTTAGTTTAGGAAATGGGTTTTAAGGCTGCAATCATTATCATTTCTAATGCAGCTGAGATAGTAAAATCATTCTGATTGCACTATTCAAATATAATTATCAGAATCAATAGCTGAAAAAACATTGTCTTAATTCTACTAATTTCTAGCTATCTTTACAGATATGTCTCACTGCCAAAATGGTAGCTTAAAAATTCAAAATAACACAATAATTCAAAGTTAGGGCTGTTTTAATTTTGATTTTCTATTCATACACAATTGAAAATATGTCTTCTATCTAGTAAACACACACATTAGGCATGAGATATTTGACAATTTGCGAGGCATTTGGAAAGAAATGCTGAATTTTTCCACCTTGCTGTGCCCAATTAGATTTTATTTTCAGCATTTTCTCTAAACAGCTCTTCAGGCAATTGAAGAAGTCCTTTGGCTCCGTGGATTGTCTTTACATTCGCTTTTAGGCTGCAGTTATGCCCATGTCAGTTTCCCTGATAGACAAAGGTGAAGTATTGGTTGAAATTTGCTGCCATTACCATCAGGTTTATCATGAGTACTTGTCCTATCCTAACTTTTTTTCTTTTGTCACTGTTGAGCCCGATTCTCTCCGATAAATATCATCAGACTGGCAAGGCTATGGTCAAGAGCAAAAGAGACCACGTCTAAGAATTTGAGACAACAAGGTGCAGAGCTGGATGAACACAGCAGGCCAAGCAGCATCATAGGAGCAGAAAGGCTGACGTTTCGGGCCTAGACCCTGATGAAGGGTCTAGGCC